GTGTGCATATGGCTTTAACCTACTTCTAAACCCAGTTCAGCTTTTTGTACCAAATAAATCCGTATTTCATTTAATACTGTTAGAATTGGTAAATTCCCAAGAGGGGGAAATCTCAAGTTCACTTTTAAATCAATGCCATAACTATGTTGTAATAAGGTGCCTTAACAACAACATGCAGAAAAGATTTGATTGAAGTAATCTCTAAACGGATGCAATGAACATTTCAAATCTAAATTTATGAAGAGCTGAAGAACTTTATGGTATAACATCTGCTTGCAATGTAGTGTACAGATTACATCACTTCTAATCAGGTTTGCCGCTTGCAGAAAGCTATTGTTCTACCCTCAAATCTAACGCAGGTAGAACATCTTTAATCATAAGATCCCAATCTTCAAGGAAAATTCTGTTCTGATGTTCTTTTTCTAGACATCCGATTATAAAAGGATGAATGGTTTGCAACAACTGGAGTAATTACATGCCTTCTGCTAGTTCATCATTTCGGCGGTTGGGAGAAAGCAGCAGCATAACCATTTTAAAGCTCCTTCTGAATTGGCAACATACTGCCATCATCATTTCCCAGCAATTTGCCACATGTCAGTTCCAAGGATTGCTGAGACACACCAACTAAATCTGCACTATTCTTTGGCAATAGGCAAAGGAGCAGATGTCAAACTGTGATGGATTTAGGGACTGCTCTTACTGTTCTTATTTTTAGGAGGCATGCAAAACCTAAAAATTACAATTTTGTATGCTTTTCTTCATCTCATATAAAACTTTAGTTGTTGTTGCATCATTATAACAAAAGCCTCTTGAATTCTGGGCTGACATCCACTGATAATGAAACTATCCATCACTAAGTAGGAATACTTCTGATAAAATTACTTCTCTTTCAAATGCATGATGAACAGCAAAGGAAAGAGCCTAGAAATGGCTATCTATAATACTTGGCTCATTTTAGCAAGCGCCTTCTGCTCACCTTACACCATAAATACTCTCTAAAGATTCCATTTAAATTTTAGTAACAGAACTATGACCAGAAGAATCCCACAGTTTGAAATGAATACAAATTTTTAAACCAGGAATGGAAAGGAGCTTTCTCCAAACACAACCCTCCATCATTCTTAAAAAATCAAGTATAACCGAATGACCATTAAGAGGTTTTCAGAACACAAAGAATTATTCATTTGCCTTATATACCAGCCTTTCTCAGAAAGAGCCTGGAGAGAGAGTTAGGTGTCAGCCACATACTGGTGATGTCATCTTCCGAATCCTTGCATAATGCCCCCAAAGGTTGGAGATAAAATGGAACTTAATGGGAGCCCACAATATAACTGCCATGAATTTGGCAGAGTTGAAAAGTGCTACTTTCTGGTAGTGACCCTATAGATATGAGCTGACCCACTATTATACAGTGCCTGCTACTTCACCAAGTATCCAGGCAAACAGAGCTGGGCAAAGTTTGGCCCACCCAGCTCACCTTAATGCACACCAGGTCAGTCTCTTCACTGATGAAACAGGGGACGAGTGCTGTTTTTTGCAGCCTAATCTAGTGTTCAACAGCAACACCAGCAGATGGGAGAAATGGTTCACAAAGGTACTCAAATCATGAGGAAAAAGGAGACTGACTAAAGAGGAACACAACTAGCTGTCTGTATTTCTCCTTCCCATGACAATATCCTTTGCTCTCCTCCCCATATTTCCCCCTAACAACCACAGTCCTAACAGTAGCTCCCTGAATCACTCCCACCTATCCCATGGCACATATTTCCCTTCTTCCCAAGTACAATGCACAATCATTTACATTGCAAATACAATATACATGAAAGCAAGACAACTGTCATGCTACACTTTAAATGAGCAAAACAGAAAATAGCAGCAACCATGATATGTAAATGTAAGACAGCATAGTAGAAAGCACCAGAAAAATCAAATTCAGAAAAACCTATTGCTCAGAGACTTCTGTTCCCCCCCCCCCCTTTTCACCAGGAAAGTAGCCTAGAAGCCCCACCTTTTCATAGCCAATTCATTCCAGTGAAGTACAGAGCCAAAGCACCTCCTATCACACACCAGAGGGGACCTATTGTAAAATGTGAAAAGGATGGAGACCCCTGCTGCTGAGGCTGCTTTTATCCTTCCCACCTCTAATTAGCAGGAAAATCTCAGCTGGTCTCACTCAGCCTCTGCTTTTACAGACTACTAAAACAATGAAATAGAGGCAGTAGCTCCTTGTAAGAGGACAGATTATATTAATTGCATCTCCCACTCCTGTTATCAGTCTCTATGCTTAATTGTGGGACTAAGGAAGAGGCTTTGGCACACACAAAAATGTCTTAGTTCCCATAAGATTTAACATCGATCCCTGTATGGTGCAATTTAGTTATGGAAGATACTAAAAACGTTTCACATTTAGGTTTATAGAACAGTAATTAAGGACATTTAATAAAGCTTGAACAGTTATTTGTTATCTTATATAATTTATAAGATACATCCAACTTCTATATAGTTGGATGTATCTTATATCCAGCGATTTTGAGTGCCTGAGTTTGCTTGCTTTACTCTTCCCTCATCATTTTTTCCAACTTGTGCCATGTCTTTTGAATCACGAACAGGGCAACTACAGCTCTCCAGGTGTAGTGTCAACTGTAATTCCACCATCCCTGACCACTGCATATGCTGGCTGGGCCAATGGAAGGTGGAGTCCAACAACATCTGGAGGGTTGCAGATTCCCCACCCTGGCTGTGTTGTTTTTATTATGTGAACTGCACTGGAAGCCTTTAACTGAAAAGGGGGGGGGGGAGTAAAATCATTTAAAATAAAAAATCAAGGGCAGACATTGTCTACCTTTAATGTAAACCATAGGACAATCAATCACCTCCAAATGTTTTGGACTACACTGTCACAATCCCAACTCTACTATTCTATGATTCCCTATCCAGCAACCATGTTAGCTGGGACACCTAAAATACCTGGAGCCAGGTTCCTACCCATGGTTTATAAAACAGAATTAAAGCTCAGTTCCTCAAATGTTCTCTTAGAAAATCAGACTGATAGTGGTAGATTGATGAATGAAATTGTTTTCATTCATTCAAATAGATACTACCCCATTCCCACAAGCTCCGGGTAGTTTACAAGAAATTAAAACCAACAGTGATTAAAATTAACCTACACTTTCAAAAGGTGCAAGCATAGCAGAGGGCTGGACCCAACGACCTTCTGGCCCCTTCCAACGCTATACTATGTATTCTATGATTGTAAATCACATGCTGTTTGATAATTAAGTAGAGGCAAATGATACAGTGTGCAAATCACGGGGATACGCTTTATTATTCACTCTTACACCATGAACAATTTTTTTCCACCTGGACAAAGTACAAGATGCACAAACTGCCATCAGCCAGGGACCCACGAATCACTGGGAGATTGCATCTCCTGCATCTCAAGAAGAATATCCCTGCAGGGGGAAGGCCAGGAAAGAAACAGCTGCAGGGACCCTCCTTCCAACCACAAGTTCCCCTTGGACTGTAGAAATGCAAAGAAGCACTCTCTGGGCTCTGCCTTCAACCAAAGAAATGAAGGCTGCAAGGTCAGTTAACAGCAACTTTACCCATGCAGGGACACCAGCAAGAGATCATTCTAGCCCCAACTACATGTGCTTAACAACTTAACAACACACAATTCTATTTTGGCAGTGTCAAACATCCCCTTCTTCTGCATGTCCCCTCTATTTCCCTTGCTTTGTGTGCCTCATATTGCATGCTAGTAGGGCCTGCCTCATTTTCTAAACTGATCTGAGCTGCTTTGGGGGGCAGTATCTTGTCTGAAAAAATAACAGAAATATAACATATCATGGGTTCTCCCCCATACAAACTTGTCCATCATTCGATTCTCAAACATATGATATCCATGTTTGGATATCAAAACTCTAGTATTTTGAAAACTAAAATTGGGCGTATCAGCAACAGAGCTAATCAAAGCAAACATAACTTTCCAATGGTCAAGACAAGTAACATGCACAGTCCACTTCTACTAATGGCAAATGAATGAGCTCAAGTCTAACTTCCCAGAAAATAAGGCCAAGTTATACTGCAAACAGAACAGTCTGGCAAAGGAAGCACAACTGAAAACACACAGTTTAAGGATTAGTTATTTTTGTACAACCAGGACAATATTGTACCCTAAGTCCTTCTCAAGCTCACATGAAAGTTGGAAGCAGCAATATAGTAGACAAGTGCAGGAATCCAGCAAGAGCATTACAGAAAGGGAATAAGGATTCTATAAGGCAAAAGGGCATGCAAAAACATGAAGCTCATCCAGTTACAGAATAGGACTACTGAATATACAGTAACATGCAGTTTGATCCTAGGAAGCAGAATGAAAATAAAGATTCACACTAAACAGAAAGATGGCTATAGTTGAAGGTACTTGTTAAAACTGAACAATTTGGCGAAAGTTATATTGGATACATAAAATCATTTGAAATGTCAGGGTTTGTAGCTAAGGTTTAGTGGACATCAGCAGATACTACTGTTTCCAGAGTCCAATCAAGTATGAAGGTAAGATCAAAATTCTAACAAGTTCCAACTGTGAAATCTATGTATTGACTTGTAGGACCTTTCACATTTCCTTTGGGACACTTCAAACAGAGGCTATAAGACATGTGAGTAGCACAATTTGTTCAGTTGTTGAGTACAGTGCCTGTGGCAGAAACATGAAATACACAAATATACTTAAAGGGCTAATACAATACAATCCACTTACTAATTAGCTGACCAAAGGAAATGCTTTTATATTCAGTATCAGATAGCAAATATTAATTATCAGACATGAAAACATCATGATTTAGGCTGGATTAGCTATGCAGTGAAAATAATAAAGATATTCAAGAAGTTAATGTGGGTCTCTTGACTTAAGGAAAGAAAATGTGCCATGAAACCAAATCCATTTCTTTTGTGTCAAGATAAAGTTACACAAAAAAGTGATGTTACATTTTGTAACTTGCCTGGGTGAGAAATGAAAGGTACAGAACCAAAGGGATCTTCTTGAGGGGGGTTCTGTGGAACAGAATGTGCCTCCACATTCTTATCTGAGGATCTTCTCTCCATGATCCTGTCTGCAAAAATAAAAATGAAACAAAACAAAAACGTAAAATAAAAATGGCAACTTTTATGCCAGTTAAAAATAAACTTAGAAGGCTGTTCTAACACTAGTTCTTAAAGGGGTTTATGAGCATAATGTCCTAGAACTCTTCCTGGAAACCCCATTACAATAAAAGATAGTTGCAGAAGCATACAGATCACAGCAAACAAAAACTCAAGACCAGCTTTCCATAACCCAGCAATTCAGTCAAGCCAGATAGCAGTGTTTAATACCTCTTCAACATTGCCCAGGTTTCTGCAAGCAGCCAAGGAGAAAAGATTACATAAATGTGGCAATTGCAGAGAACCACCCTTTTCAATGAGGGTGTAAAAAAGGAACAGAAAACCAAATGAGCAGTTTGGCATAACAGAGTATTGATAAGTTTTGATCAGTTAGAACAGAAAAGACAGTCAACTACAATGAACATACAAGTATTTCAGCATGTCTATGCTATCCCATTACATGTAGTTTTGAAACACAGTCTTTTTATTTACTTACATAAGCAGAAAGCTGCTCATACAATGGATATTTCCCTCCCGCTCCTCACTACTGCAGCCGTACTACCCTTTGGAAAAGCACTCCTAGACTCCTGCATAGGGTAAGGCGCCTCTGACTAACTTTTTAGGGTTTTCCCCTTTCTTGCTATTGCTCCCTGGTCCCATTTCATGTCATTCTTGAGGATTTTCAAACCCAAAACAGTAGTTTTTTTGAATTGAATTGAAAAGCTGCCTTCCAATGCAGAAAATCTAGATTCAAGCTATTGCGTGGAGATGCACAAACACAAGAGCTCCTTCTGCTGACAAATGGGATTGGAGTCCAGCAGAGAGTCCTCCTGGAGTCGGTAGAATTTTCATTGATTCCTCCATCTCTCTGCAGTCCCCTGTGACAATTCCCACATTGCTCCAAGAGTTCCCCCAACCTCTGGAGCAGTTCTTCAAGAGGTAGAAGAGGAAGAAGAATTCACAGAAAAGGCTTTCTCCCCTTTTCGTCCAATAGGAGTATCTTGTAAGTGGAATTCAGTCCTGAGAACTCTGGATCCGAACCGTTACTTTCAGAGATGGATTTCAACCTCTCGCGTGAAACAAATAGTTAAATATTAGCAATACAAAATTGAAGCAGCAGCTTCAGAATGTGTACTATTTCTCTTTTTTGTACATGGCCCAATTGCTCAAACTAATTAATCTGCATAAGAATTTGTACAACCTATTTGCCATTTGAAAAAAAAAAGTTCATTATTCACAGAATAGACAGCATGTGATAAATGAAGACTGCAAGAGGTAAATATTTTAATTAACATATACATTGTAAGGGACAATACAAGATAGGTTGTAAGTTACAACCTTTTTTAAGACACATAGTTAATTAAAAATGGTTCTTAGGGAACTTTTTCTTTAAACTTTTAAAACTGATTTAATTTTTTTTACATAAGTTGACAACTAAGCCATGTTTTGGAAAAGCAAAACAATGCTTGAGTTTCCCTAGTTTAATCTTCCCTCTATTACAAGGAAAGAGAAGAAACTTAATATATTCAATAAACTGGTACTTAATACAGGAAAGTTTATCTTGTACATACAAATTAAAATGCTTTTGAAAGGTATAATAACTACAGTTATTCTAAGAGTACACGGTGCAACATACAAACTAATAATCAAAACATTCAGCTTGTTTATTACGCTGCATGAATTCAATACATGGCTAATTATACAAAAGTAATTTTGCCTTTGTAAACAACCAAGGTCTTTAATAAAGGTTCATGTTTTATAGACCCAAACAATTACAGTAACCATAGAAGAAAATACTGGTATTTTATCTTAATATTTCTGTTTGAAGTATGATCAGCAGAACAAGGGAGGGATGACATAGATTAAGTGAAGAGAATTGTCATAATGAGGACTCTCTCTGTAGTATACATTTCAAGGCTAAAACCATGGAAGCCTTCATCAGACTCTTCAATTATCCTCAGTCCAAGTGTATCTCCATTAGCAGTAATCAGTTAATGTATTTATTTAACAGCAATAAGAATGCACCCATTTTTCTTCTACCTCTTAGATAATTAAACCAAAGGGACATGACAAAAGTGCTCAAGAACAGATGTTTTCTGAGTTTACTAACAATGAACATTATCCTTTCACCAGCAGAACTAACCCTGTTTCTGTAGGTTACTTAGGTTATTCTGAGTGTGTTCATGCATATGTACAGTGCAACAAAAATGCCATACATTTAATAGCTCCAGTTTAATTGCCATTTCATTTATAGTTCTGGCAGCTGATACAATTAGAAGAAGTACAGCATGCTAAAGTTACATGATAGCTGAACTATACTTTTTAGGAAGAATAATCTGTTAATAAAGAGATAACCAGGACTTGTACTATAATTCCAGATGTGATAGTACATCTACAGAAACAAAGTATTGCTGAAATCCTATCTAATATACACGCATTCAAATCTCTGCTATACCTTTGCTGCATATTTCTCACAAAGTGCATAATGTTTTGTCACTAATATGACATGTTGTTCATCTAGCAGCAGGGAGGAAAGTACCAATATGTAGAGGTTTCTCACTCTAAGGAGAAGTCTTAGCATGCAATGAAAAATACTTCAGCATATCTAAAGCATACCATTACAAAAGAGGGGAAGCAAACTCTGTATCAAATAAGCAATGCCTGAAGGCACTTCATTAGAAAGTGTTAGAACCACATAGTAAATATACACGTTCAAAAGAAGCTGTAAAACCAATACAAAAGTGTTGTGAAATGTAAAGACCTGCCTATCCATCCCACACTTACTTGGCTCTTTAAAAACTGATCAAAAGTTCACAGACCTCTCTTTGGTCTCCCTTTTCTTCAATGGAAGATTAGATTTCCCTTTGATCTAAAGCAAAGAAATGTAAGCTCTTGATATGACCCTTAACTTAAGCACCCCAATAGTACCAGAGTTATGCTTAAAACCATTATTTAGCCAATCAAGGCATAAATAGCTATTCCTTGGAATTTTAGAATCTAACTTTGTAGAAATGAAGGCAATTTGATAATGTGTTCATGTTCTGTTCAGTCAAGAATCTGGACATTCTTTTAAGATTGAGGTCTGTCAAACCTCCTGTAATACTTCTTTCCTCAACATATTTCAACTTACATTTGTTAAAAGACATACATCAATTCCAGAAACCAAATTTCACCTGGATTTTTAAGGACAGCATGTTAAAATGAGGCAGTTGACAATAGGTGTGGACAACTCTAAGTCATTTAACATTTAAGGAGTTATCTACATTTGGCTCATTGGCAGTATTTCAGTGCACATGTGAAAGATCCCCAGTTGTGTTCTTAACGTATCTACCAAAACTAGTATTTTTACATTCAGAACGATAGTTTACAGAAATTGTAAGCCTGTTTTAGGAATGCCCCCCCCCCCGGGTTTTGGGGACCCCATGCTTCATTTCCTTAGAAAAGTAATGTCTTTTCAGCATTTGTCTATCTCTTTATATGGACAACATTACCTATCAGGAACATTTATTATTTTGACCAATCAGTGACTTATTTTCTATGACCATTGGACCCAGTTTAAACCTCCTCCCTTTGCATGCAAAGAATGGGGGGAATGATATCAAGGTCTGTGTTCATAATAAATCCTGGATTGTTGTTATGACTGATTGGACACTAAAATTTTCAAATTAGTGGTGCTTTCAAATTAAGAACTGTATCGTCAGTTTTATCAACTGCAGCTGTCAGTAAAGGCTTCTTGGCAAATTCAGGATCCATAGGTTTGTTTATTAAAAGTTTTTCTAACCTGTCCACCACTAGCATCTCGGAACAGCTTACACTAAAGATGTTACCTGCATCTTACTGCCTACGCTGCTGCCTCAAAACTACTTGCATCCCATCTGGACATAAAGCCGCCTACCACTACCCCTGCTCCTACAGGTTACAACAATGGACTCAACAGAGTCTGGCAGCTGGGGCTGAGGCACAACTCTCTTCAGTGGACTTTTGTCTCTAAAATGTATGAAATGCAAAGGCATGAAATGAACTCGACCGAGTTTGCTAACTGATGCGGGGGTTGTGCCTGCATGGGTGGACTACAACTCCTTCATTTTCTAACACACCTCCTGGAATGGATTTCTTGATCAGGAGGGTTAGATTTGTGCATACAGAATTCGCAAGACAAACTCAGGTTGCGCTCTTCAGCTCAAGAGCCCAGCCTAATGCATGCAAAAATAATTCTCAGAAATGTGTTTGGATACAGATTTCAGGAAATTGTCTAGAAACATCTGGTACAGACTAGTTAGGAACAAGACTGGAAACAGGTTGTTTTGCCACTAAGAAGTGCACGCATAGCCTAATTTGTATATTTCTGCCTACTGGTTGCTTCTCCAACAAATGGGAGGAGTAATTCATTCAAGGACATCCTCCTCCATTGCAGAAATAAAGAGCAAAAGATTTCAAGTAAACACGCTGGCTTTTTGGCTAGAAGAGTTTATTCAACTATTATTGTGTCAGAACAATAAAGCAGCCTTTAACATTAAGCCACTCAAAAGACATTACAAAACATTAACATAATGTACTAGATCATTTTCCCTCTTTTGGGCAATTTCAAAAGGCATTCCAGACCCACAGAATCTCCTGTTCAGGTGTGCAAGGGAACAAAACTGCAAAGTGAAGCAATGCAAGCAGCTGACTGGTGTATTAGACATTCTGCTATTCTTCTTTTTGCATTTGACACTCATGAAAATGAAGTACTCAAGAGATGACCTTGAGATTTTCTGTGGTATTACAAATGCTGAACAACTGGTTTCTATTGCACACATTTTTATAACAGAAGGACAAGACACACAGTGAGCCTGGGTTTGCCCTCAAATGCTCAGAAAGAGTTCACTCTACAACAGACTGTGTGGCCCTTGAGCAGAACAGTCTTTGGCACTGCCAGTTGTACCTAAAGAGCTCTTATTTACTGTGAAGTGAAATAAGTCTTCAAGCGTCCCTTACTTGATCTCAGAAGGTCAAACTCCCTGTCCAACAGCTCCTCCTCTGTTAGTTTGGAGAAATTGTCTTCTCCAAATGGGTTCCAGCCAGACATATCAGGGGGGTTACTGATGTTCTGTTTTGGATAGTTGGAAACAGACTCTGTGTCTGAGGAAGATGACCTGAAAAGTTGATGAAGAAAATAAATTACAATGATATTAATGTAATTTAAAATACACTAAATGATAAGAGTATACCCATGACAACTATGTAGCTATTTATGCAATTGTGTGGAAAAATTAAATGGTATTTTAGTCTACAATGATTAAGTAAAGAGTCTAGTAACTATCAGAGTGACATTTTAAGAATAAATTGGGAAAACACAATCAAAAACATATCTATGCAGTTATTGCTAACACCAATTGGTGATGCTTGCCTATTTGCAGTATAAGGGGTATCCAACGCTGCGCCAACGTGAGATGGAAAGGATTTAGAGTGAGAGATTAAGGCTGGTGAGAACTCCTGAGGCGAGGCAGGAAATTCAGGAGAATGTTTTAGCGGTGGTAACTGCTTTACAAGAACCTGCTGCTGTAGAAGAGCCTGTTGATACTGCTGCATCTCAAAGAAAAAGAGGGAAAAATCAAGCTTGCAAATTATATCTAATATAACTCTCTAATTATCCATTCAACTTCAGCTTGTACTTAACCACTTCACTGCTATATCTGAACTCATCCAAAGGAGCAACACACAAGTTCACATACCACTACACAACATTAAGCATTGGCACAAATAAGTCATTTGTTAAAATAAGTTCATTAGGAGAGAAATTTTGATGGGGGATTGCTCCAAGACTGAAGGACTGCCAGCAAATAAGGTCCAAACACAGAGGAGGCAATCCACCATACCTCAATAAGTAAAGCAATTATATGCAAAGGGTCCTGGATAGAAGGACAGGAAAAAAGTATAAAAAACAGAAAAGTTATGGTAAAAAATAAAGGGCCAACCCACCCCCCGCAAAAGGAGAGGAACTGATGGTGTGAGATCCATTGGCAAGCACCGGGATGTCTGCCTACAGATAAGGAATAGTGCAATACATAAACAGAAAGTGGCATGCCAACAAGTAGAAAATTGATACAGGGGATTTTTTTACATGCTGTGCTGCATAAAATAAAACCCAGATGTTCCTCTTTCCGGGTGCTCAGAGTGTGTAGGAGTGAGACTGAGGACCCCTCAGGAAAGAGAATTCCATTGCACAGTTGCACCACCATTCTCATTTGGCCAATATCAAGATAAGGCCAAAAGAAGTGCATGGTAGGAGTCTTGCCCCAAGATAAGAATCTGTAGAATTCCTGTGTTAAAGGAGGTAAAGCCTTTGGACTCATAAAGTCACTGGTCCATATCAAGGAAGGCTGAGTCCGGCTAGAAAAGAGTGGGTGATCGGTGTGAGTGAGGGTGGAGCTCCTTGTAGGGGCCAGTTGACAGCCACCTAAAAGGGGGGTTAAAGGAGTCCTAAGAGGTAGTTTCCATGATCTGGAAAAATTCAGGACACAACTTGTGATTTCAGTGAGGGAAGCCTTTGCCAGCTGCCTCCCAGTAGCTGCTCTGGCACTTCTGTGGTAACTGGGAATACCAATGGCAATTAACTGCTTGGCCAGGGCAGCAAGTGTTGTTGCCCCTCTGGTAAACCAACTCTGTGGGTTTTTCGCTTCAATCCAGTTACCATGCAACAATAACAAGAGTCATTTAAAACAGTCACATTTGAACGGCCAATGATTATCTTGCTACATCTAGCAGTACCAACCTTGTTTATCAGCAAAACAGTATTGGTTAGAATAATGTTTTATTCAGAGGTAACTTACCATAGTAGGATAAGGGGATGGGGGAGGTAGCTGCTGGTACACTGAGCGCATTAAAAGCTGCTGCTGAATCATGTGCTGCTGCATTGCTTGTTGATACTATTTTTAAAGAGAGAGGGATCAAGAATAGATTATTCTATTCTATTATAGATTACAGATTATAGATCAAGAATAATCAAGTAAAATCAAAATCTCTCTCTCTCACTCACACACATGCACACAAAATCAATTATACGTGAAATGTGACTTTAAGATGAAGCCCCACTTAAGCATCGTCAGATGCTGAGGTCTGCAACATAGCAAACACTGGAGCAAGGGCACTCCTGGGATCTCTGCATGCACCAGTGAAGTTCTCCCACCCCTGCCCACTTTACTGATTTTAAAAACCATGTTTACTAATTTTAAAAAACCTTTTAAAATCAAGTTTACTGATTTTAAAAACCATGAAAAACATTAGGGTACCATATTCTCCTTCCTCCCCTGAACCTGCTGCTGATCAGCTGTAAAGCAGGCAGGTAAAGAAAAAAGAGTTGATTCCAGGCCTTGCCCGCTCTTCTTCTGCTCACACAAACTGTTCCTCTTTGACCATTCTTACTCTCTCCAGTCTCATCTTCTAACTTATGGGGGGCTGTTCTTGAGCCTGGTGCACATGCTGCAGCCAGCACAAAATGTAGCAAGTAGGATGCTTGACAAAACACCCAGCTAAGCTTGCACAAGAGTTGTGCTAAAAGAAGCTGCACTCACTTCTTATGAAATTCCAAGTTGTGTTCAAGAATCTGTGTTATTGTCCTACAAAGCCCTAACCAACTTAGGGCCAGGAAAACTGGCAGACTTCCTTCCTTCATATATTCCCAATCATCTATTAAGATCACTGCAGAGACTGTGCTGGTCATTCCAAAATTATTGGACTGTCATCATGTGATACCTTGACAGCAGATTCTCACTCATAGTTTCTCACTTTTTTCACCCTGTAAAAAAATTCCCTTGTGCAGTTCTGGAGGCAGAAAAATTGGCATCTTTCAAATGGCTCCTGCAAATGCACCTGTTCACTCAGGCTTTCTCTGGTCTGTAATTAAATTAACCATGCTGTTCCATTGTTCTGCTCCAGTACTGCTCTGTATTTATGATGTATTACTGCTATTATTGTAGTTGCATTGCTTTGAATACTGTATTCCAATTGTGATATTAATATTCTGTATTTTAAGTGTGGTTTTACTATTTGTATGGGAGCCACTTAGGGATTTTTCTTAATATTTGGTAGTATGCAAATAGTACCAAGAAACCACTATTCATGTCCTCTGCTCCACCCCTTTACCTTGCTCTTTCTTTTCCTTCCCCGATTTTTCTCTTTCTTCCCCTTTCTAGCACCAAGCTTTGCTCTCTTTATCTATCTATCTATCGATTTATATCCTGCCTTTTTCCTACAAAGGGCTCAAGGCAGCTTACATCTCCTCCTCCATCTTATCCCCACAACAACAACCCTGTGAGGCAGGTTGGGCTGAGAGTCTGTGACTGGCCCAAAGTCACCCAGTTGGCTCCATGGCTGAGCGAGGACTAGAACCCAGATCGTCTGAGTCCCAGTCCCATGCTCTTCACCACTACACCACACTGGCTCTCAGTCCTCTTCCTTGGTTTTACCCCTTTTCCTCACTGTTTTCCCTCCATCCCAGTCCTTAGCCTTGCTTTCTCTCCCTTCTACCTCAGTATCTCTTCTCCTCAAAATGCCCAGCTTTTTCTCTCCCTTCCCACACCTACAAACATACACATACACACAGAAACACACATAGAGTACCTTCCCCAGATAAGGGCAAATATAGCAAATAGGGATGTACAAGTGCTAGAAGGAGACCAAAATAACTGAGCCTGGGATCAAGGTAGGGAAATCTGTGGAACAGCCTCCTTTGGCACTGAGGGCATATTCCTTTCTTTTAGAGCTGAAGTAAGGTTGTATGCAGGCAGGATGAGCAGAGCAACTTAGAAAGGAAAAGTGAGACAGATGTGGGAGAAGCAATGGTGCCCACAGCAGTTTCACATTCCCAAATATCTCCTAACAGAAGTTGGAGGCCCCCTTTCTAAAGTAGTATTCTTAATTTGAAGTAAGACAGGGAGGCAAATCAATTGTCTTCCAAATAAGAGGCCCCACACTTCGCCTCAAGCTTGCCTTACTCAGTGCCCAGCATAAATCCAAAGAAGACACAAGTAGAGAATAAATGTACTACTTAAAGATGATTGCTCAGCAAATGGCTCCAAAAAAATTAACAATTTTTTAATTTTTTACAAAATTAAAAAGGAAGCTAAAGCATCCTCAGGCACTAGATTTGGGGGAGTTCTTCCCAATGGCAGGATGGCAAAGTCCTCCACTCAGCCTCAGGAAGGAGCATTTATAGATTAAACAGATAATAGAAGACACAAGTTTCAAACTGCTTTGCCCTGTAGCCAAAACAGACTGGTACCTGCTGCACATATGTATCCTGAAGCAATTGTTGCTGTTGCTGTTGTTGCTGCTGCTGGTGATGTAATTGTTGCAACTGCTGTAGTCTCCAGTCCCCTTGCTGTAGTTGTTGCAATACTCTATTTTGTTGTGGCGTGTGATTAGTCCCCTGCGACAGCACATTATCTTGACTACTTCCAGGCTTTGAATGACCTGCAATATTTTTAAACCATGATATCTGCTTAATACATTTCTAAAATTTATTTAGAAAACACAGACACAGAAGACTTCCACTAACTCACACATCTTGTTAACAAAAACTGGCCAAGGTAATCATATTATGCCAGTAGTTTTCCAACTGCCCTGGCTCTCAAGTTTATTTCTGGGCCCAATTCAAAATGCTGGTCTCAACATTCAAAGTTGTAAATGGTGGAGGGACAGCTTACTTGAAGGACTGTCTGTTTCCTATTTCCTGCCTGGATTCTAAGATCAATTTCAGAGATCCTTCTCTAGAAAAACCCACCAGAAGAAGTAAGATTAGTGGCTATTCAGAAGAATGCTTTTCCTGCTGTAGCACCCTGGCTATGGAATGAACACCACAAAGAGGCTCTCCTGATTTCTACATTCTGGTCCTTTCAGGCCTGGTTGCAAATTTTATTTTCTCAGGCATTTTCATCTTCCAGTTTCTGTTATTTTATATATGTGTGTGTATCTCAATCTCTGCACTGCTACAAGGTTTTACTTTTCTTTTCATTTTTGATTTTAATATTATATTGTACTATAAAACTTTTATATTATATTTTATCATGCTGTACTTTATTATTTTAATAGTTGTGAACCATCCAGAGTTTCTGCCAGTAGATGGTACAGAAATCTAATAAATAAATAAAAGTAATGCCTCCATTTTGAGAGTCAACTAGCAGAGAAATAGCAAACATTCACTGCCTTGCATTTCCCAACAAAACATTTTCCAAGCTCTTTTTCTTTAGTTAAGCCAGGAGACACCCTTACTGATGATCTGTTTCCTGGATTAGGGGATAGATCCCAAATGCAGCTCTAGAATAAAGCCTCAGATAGACAAGATGAGGCACCAATGTTTTTAGCATCGTAATTGTTAAAGCTACAACAGCACAAGCTGAAAAAATTACTATATAATAAGACTATTATGTTTCATTGGTTATTAAATAACTGTTGCAATGGAATGAAATAACACTACCAGAAATCACACAATCTTCAATTTAACTCATCTCCTTTAGAAGTGCTTAACAATCATGCTCATTTTGTGAGTGAATAGGCAAGCCTGAAGAAGAAACTGTCAGCAGATCATCCATTTTTTAAGTTGCATGTCGTCACAACTCTATGAGGGCAAATGTCCTCAACTGAGTATAAGTAGAATGCTATCTAAAGGAGCGCCTGCGTCCATATATGCCCTCCCGCCCCCTGAGATTGGCAGCAGAGGCCCTCCTCCGGGAACCCTCCATGAAAGATACTAGGAGGGTGAGTACCCGGAGGAGGGCCTTCTCTGCAGTGGCGCCCCAGAGAGGTCCGCCTGGTGCCGTCGTTATTTGCTTTTCCTCGCCAGACGAAGAGCTTTTTATTTAAGCGGCATTTTAACTGTTAATATTATTGGATTTTATCTGGCCAGGGCGGCTTATTTTATATTGTATTTTTGTATTTTTAATCTAATGTTTATATTTTTAATTTAATTATTATAATTATTTTTTAATTTATTGTTGTAAGCCGCCCCGAGGCTTCGGCGCATGGGGCGGCATAAAAATGTTTTAATAAATAAATAAATAAATAAATAAACTTTTCGCTTGTATTTTATTGTTGTTTTTAATGTGTTATTGGTTTTTATTATGTTTTTATCTTGTGGTTGTGAGCCTCCCAGAGGTGCCATGGCACAACTGGGCAGCATACAAATGTTTTAAATAAATAAATAAATTCACTTCGATTCATGTGGTTTACAATTGTCATGATCTTCACAACATGGTAGTATGTATTTTTAAAATACGGTTCGCCAGTACTTTACTATGTATTAAAGGAAGAAAGCTTTTCTCAACAAACTATCCGTCTGAGAAATTACCTTTTTGTCCATTATTAAAATCACCAGGGACTGGCACCTTTACCGGTGTTGCTGAGCTCTGGATTGTTAGTACGTTAGAAGTGGCAGTGCTTGTATTCGCCTTTGGTCTTTGTCGTGGTGCTATTGAGGTTTCTGTTGGTCCAATGGCATCTGTTATTCTAGAATGAAAGAGATCTGAGACATTTCCATACTTCAGAAAAAAGGTATAGTAACACAGTCTTGTTTTTAACCACTCACCTGCTTGTTATATGTGTCTAAGAATATTCCAGGCAAGCAGGTGGGTTGCCAGAAGAGGGAATAGATGTCTGTCCTCTCCTCTTGCAATTTGCTGCATTTCTATCCCACTCATTCCACCCTCTAAGCAAGATGCTGGTTGAGATATAAAGTATTCCATCCCTTCCTTCAAAAGCCAAATGTATCCAGTACAGAAACTGAGGAAAGTGGCAGGAGAAGCTGTGCTCCTTCCTCTGCCACCTGCCTGCTATGTTCGTATGCTACGCATATTGATAAAACTCCTACATGTCTAACACAGAAACATTGTAGACTGGTACAGAAGGAATATAAAGTGATTCAGGTCTTTACCACCAAACTACTAAAGTTTCTGAAGCTGGATGAAAACTCCTAACATGCACATCCAGCAGAAACCAGTGTTGACAGTATACAGATCACACCCTCCTTTCAATGATACTCCCCCCTTATAGGCTGGAAACAGGCACTTCTTCCCCACATAATTGTAATAAAAATCATGTCAACTGAAGGATGAAAAAAGAAATGTTCACCTCTAATCTAAAAAATGATTCAATCCATCCACCACCAGCCTCTTACTGGATAAAGGGCAGGTAAGTAAGACATTTGGCAAACTAGTAATTTTCTGGGGCAGCTTTACAACATTATATTAAGTTATGTATCTTCTAAGAACATTATAAAAGTTATACTTTATATTTCTTTACATGGTTGAATATTCAACTTCATATGTTCCCTCAGTATGAATAACTACCAGAAGAGGGAGCTTGTGCAATATGCTTTCCAAAAGCAACCAAATAATTTGGTATAATTAATGTGCCATTCAATACAACATTATTGCATTTAATTTATTGAACGTACATAAAGGCACACGTAAGAAAATACTGCTATGCATAAAAGTAAGCCACTTCAGCAGAAATAAATGAAGAAAAAATATCTTTTCTTAACAAATCAGGAGCAAACACTTGGTATATAAGGAGACTGGATTACTCTTTGAATTACTCTACATCAAGCCAAGCTTTACCCAACAGTTTCTATTTCAGATGCACTTGCTTCTAAGTAAGTTTCAATTCTGTTTCCAAACCTTTCTGCTTAGTTCACTGATAAAATGTGGTGACTTTGTTCCTATTTTCCCCTGGCTAAAAACCAGAGGTATTGTTTATTTTTTCAGGTTTTCCCCCCTTTAAATCTAATGATTATGCAGCATTATCAAACCTTTAAAATGAATTCAAAGCAAACGAGGATTTGGCATGTGAAGTCTGAAAAAATAAACTAGTGGAAAACAAAGTGATGTCTAGACCAGACTTTTAAGAGGGAAAATGTTACTGAGATTCATATCTTGAAGAAAATGTACTACCTTCTTTATTATTAGCAATTCACCCTTTAAATGCTGGTTGTGCTAACACAACTGTTAACCGTAGAATGTAGTTCACCCCTACATAAAAAGGCACAGTCAGGCAGGCCTTAACAGCTGCCAAAATTAAACATTCTTCATGATACATGCCATTGAATGTGTCACCTACCCATCAAAATGTTTAACAGTTAACAAATTTACAAGTGGGACCTGCAACAAAATGTCAATGCCCCCACCTTGCCGTTGCTGCACCTCCCATTCCGTACACATTGATTTATATTTTATATTTTTATATTTTATATTGTTAATTTTAATTTTATATTGTTATTTTTGTATTTTATTGTATTTTATTGTGTTGTAAGCCGCCCCAAGGCTTCGGCAAGGGGCGGCACAGAAATGTTTTAATAAATAAATACATACATACATACATACATACATACATACATACTTTGTTTAGCACTGTCAGTTTCTACTCTTCCACGTACCCCATCAATGCTCACCTCTTTATCCTGTCCTGCACTGTCATTTCCGCTTCCTCCCACCTGCTACTCCAACATCGGTTCCTCCTTTGACTGAGTCTGCACAACTGCTGCTGTTCACCATTGTTTATATAAGCCCCCGTGTGTTGCAATGCATGTTAGCAGCCATTTTTGATATTTAACCCCTGAAAGGGAGTTGTCATGGTCCGCTGTACTAACTGAACCATGGGAGGAATCCACCCTCAAATAATGCTACAAAAGACTATGGAAGGTCTATCCGGCCCAGCTTTCTCTTTACGTAGTAGCCAGTTGGCTGCCAGTGGAAAGCTCACATGCCAGTTGTGAGTGCTATAGCATCCAATTCAGATTTCTCAACTGGTACACAGAGGCATACTGTCACCAATACTCCAGGTAATATATAGCCAACATGGCTAGTGGCAGTCATTGACAGCCTTACCCTCCATAACCCCCTTTCAGCCATCAAAGTTGGTGTCCATCATTACATCTTGTGGCAGTGAATTCCATGGTTTAAGTATATATTGTGTGAAGAAATTCTTCCTTTTATCTTTCCGGAATCTCCCACCATTCAGTTTCATGGGATAACTCCAGGGTCTAATACTGCAAGGGAGGAACCAGCACCAAGTGTGTTCACTAGGTGGAGGACTTCTGACACTATTTTGATCTGTATTGCCATAGAAAAATCTATATTCAGAATACATTTCAGCACAGTAAAATGCAGTATACAAAGCATGTATACCATTATTATAATAAAAAAGATTAGACTCACCTAGCTTTTATTTGGCTTTTCTTAGCAGCAGCCTCACTAGCTGTCAAGGGTTCAGGAAGAGTTGAAGGGAGAGGAGAATTCTTTGGGGAAAAAAATACCATAAGTTATTTTGAAAGTGAAAGATACCAATAGCAAAGATTACTCACAAACACACATTAATAGTAAGCTCAGTTCTGAATACCTGCTTTACACAGACACAAATGGAGTTAACAACAGGCTTGAGGGAGATGTACAGGTGCCAAGGTTTGCAGATATGCAAGCTTTAGAAAAACTTTTACTGGGGGATGGGGGAAAAAGCAGGATCCAAAACAGCTCAAAGAGCACGATCAGTGGCCACAGAAGGCGAGAAAAAGGGGGAAATAAGGGAATGAAATGGGAGAATCCTGAAAGAAGGGATGGGTGGCTGGCAGCCTGAACAGGAGGCCCACCAGCAGCAACACTGCTACAGGCCTCATGAATCCTGAATAACAGAATGACAGCAAATGATACTGGCTTCAGAGTAATCATAGAAATATCTCATGAATATATACTTTATTATACTTCTGGTCTCCTTCTAGAACAAGGTGTACAGCAAATCACAGTAGCAGTACAGTTGCAAACTATGCCTGTGTTTTCATGGCTAGTTTTAGAAAGTTGTGGAGATACATTTAACAGAGCTATTTTAAGACAATTGAATATCTTATTGTCGACTAGCTATAACTACCCTGTATTAAAACCTTTGCTTTATTTATATCCATTTTAACAAACATTTATTGCTCACTCATCCTTGAAAAAACTCAGGGTGACAAAAGTAAAACCAAGAAACAATTTAAAACACATCAATGTCAAAAATATTAAGGCACTAAAAACAGCAGCAGACAAAACCAGCAATACACCAACAGTAGCAGTAATTGTGCTTTGAAAGTACTAAGCCATTAACATTACCAGAATACCAACAATCTACAAATCATTTCCTAAATATTAAAGTTTTCACTAACTTCCTACTAAATACCATAAAAAAGAGGCAAATCATGTAAGACAGATTGTACAGTTTATAAATGTATTGGTTTTTGAACCAACATGTAGGACTGGAGTCTCTGAAGAGCCTACCCCACCGTAACTCAAGGAAGATACCTTAGGACACTGATCAGTAAAATAGTGAATATATTACAAATAAGGTTCTTCCCTGTGAAAATGAAGAAAGATCAGTACTGCATCATTAAGGTCTTTTCAAGTGGGGGAAGCAGTATTCCCTATTACCCCCATTGTTAAATCTAGAAGAGGAAGTTCTACTAACTAAAAAATTCCTCAACTATGAAAGAGATTATAGTTTAATAGTTACAAGGTCAAAAAGGTTAAATCAACTGTACAGTAAAGGCATTAGACTTTGTTATGCTTAGAGCCTTCCAAATCAATGCAGCTTAATTCAATGTACGGACACTAAATGTAATGAATCCTGCACCCAGTCCTTAGACCATAGTAAGAGAAAATTGCATTATGCAAGGCCAAGGGTCTACCTATGGCCAGTGGCACTTGCCTCAGCCCCCATTCAGCTTTTGAGATTTCCCTAAGTTTCAACAGCGGCTTTCCATAAGGCATGGAGCAGAAAACTTACTGTTGGGGGTGGGGGAACAAGTCAGTAACACTATGAACCTGCCAAATTAGTAATGCAGTTCTCTAGATTGTTGCTATAGCAATACTCTGCTGTTGTACCATGTACTTGAATTTTGCAAAGCTTTTTGAGAACCAAACCAGTTGAATAGTTAATTCACTTAGTCGTTCAAATAAGCTCATCTACTCTTAGGAGAAAGCACAAATGAAAAGCCCAGACCATAATAATATTACAATGTATTTACTATCTACAAAAATATTCCCGAGGTATCTTATTTACTATTTTCAGAGCAGAGATAGCAGTTTTAGCAACATTACCAAGCAAAGGGTATCAAAAGTTTCTGAACCAAATGAATGCCACTTGCATGTTTGGAGGTGGGAAAGAATGACTTTTAAGTAAAAAAAAAAAAAAAAAACACTGCCATTCTTTTTGGTTACCCTGAAAAAATGTATTGCAAGGCAGATTCAAATACAAATCTACTTACATTAATGTTTGATATTGGACAGTCCTTTTTGGCAAGTTTAAAGGCAAAACAAGATACTTGAAATATATCAGGTCTTCGTTCTTGATCTGGTTCAAGCATGTACCCTGTAGATTATAGCAAATTAAGATTCTAACAACAAGAAAGTTAGAAGTTTAGGTTTATATTGAGACTATCAAATTCAGTAGAAGTGTTTCACAAATTTGTCGTTAATTTTAAGTGCTGACAGGCAGAATACAGCAGCAAGAAAGACTGCAGTGGCTGAAATAACTGCAGTCTACGGAATGACTGTTTTGCACCATCCATCACCCCCTCAAATCTCCCCTTGCCGCCACACCAAGGAACAAGCCAGGAATTGCAAAAACAAAACTAGGCTACCTAAACCCCACCCTACTTTGACTACCAAGTGAAATGTAGCAGCATATTCCTGGAGAAGAAATGCTTTGGAGGTGGCACAAGGGTGAGGAACTCTGTTTTCCTGTAACAGAAGTAAACTGTTATTTAACTTCAGGAACAGGGCAGTATAGAAATGAGATGATGATGATGATTCCTTTGAAAGACGTAGTGGTGCTTTTCTTTTAGCAGTATGATGCTAGACTTTTAGCAGTATGATGCTTTAAAAAAAGTTTGAATGGGTGCTATTTGAGCTGTTAACTACTGTATGGTTGCTTGAAGCGGTAGCTTGAAGCAGTTTGTTATACACCCAAGGAATTCATTAGATAACCTGAGGAGGGATGGGGGACACTATTAGTATTGGCAGGGGGAGATAGGGTTTTGGAAAATGAACCAGTCAGTTATGCAATGAGTAATTTAGCATTTTATACTGACTTTCTTCTGGTTTGTGTCTTCCACACATGGAAATGTTCTTGGTTGTCGGGACCAACCAAACATGTATCACCAGCTTATGCTGGAGAATGGAAATGAGCTAGTACTTTCCAACATAGATTTGAGGGATGGGAAGGACACTGTAGTAAGAACTAATGTGGCACTGTAACTTAGTGTGCTGGACTGGGATTCAGGAGATTCAAGTTCTAGTCCCCGCTAGGCCAGGAAGCTCACAGATGACTGGGCTAGTCACTGGTTCTCACCCTAACCTTCACAGAGTTGCTGTAAGGAAAAATGACAAGAATAAAGACGGTGTAAGTCATTTTGTGTTCCTTGCAAAAGGAAAAAATGAGGTATAAATGTAATAATAAATAATAGTCCACAGAAATCACAGCTACCCAGCCAGGCTTTGTGACTCATGTGATCCCCACGTGCTGGGGATCACATGAGCAGAGCTGGCTGATGCTTAGGATCAGACTAGATGCCCTGGGAGACCCCTTCTGACTTACTTTGTTCTATGTTTCTAGGAGTACAAATCCTGTGCTTTTGACACCTTGTGTTGCACACCAAGGACAGATCAGAGATCCCACTAGAATACCACCTACCCCCTGCCTGCCCATCAATCTCCCTTGCTCAGGTGACAAACATGATCACAGATTTAGCATTCAGTACTCCCAGGTTGCTAGTTCTGGAGGATCTCAAGATACGTATTATAACCAGTGAGTCTGTGGAGGCTCAGGACTGCATGACAACCATGAGGCTGCCCCAACTTGCTATTGGCCCAACACACATGGCAGTACATACTCTGAATGTGATTTTACATTTACGCTGAATGTGGTTGTGCACATAATCTGTCAGATGTAGAGGTCCCGCCTCCTGAGGAGGCGTTGCCAGTTTCTAGGAGGCAGCACAGGCAGAAGATCCAGTTGTCGGAACAACAGGAGGAGCAAAGGCAGGTAAAGAAGCTCAGTGTCCTGCCTCTGGGCAGAAATCAATGAAAGATTCTTAAATGGGATGAAGTGTGGCGGGGGAGGGGGTCACTTGATCTCTCGGGGGTGAACTCAGAGATGTTTGACAATAAAGAAGTGTAACAATAAAGCATTGTGAAAAAGTAGTGTGAAGTAGTGTGTTTAGTTGGGAAAAGGAGGGCTTTCTCTGTGGTGGCACCCCAGCTGTGGAATGCACTCCCCAGAGGTTAGCCTGGCACCAACATTATATGATTTTTGGCGCCAGGTCAAGACCTTTATATTTACCCAGTATTTTACAGTGTAGTATTTTAATTATGTTTTTATTGATATCCTCAGTCATGTTTTAACTTGCTATTGACTGATGTATTTATTAGGTATTTATTATATTGTAAGCCATCCATAGATGAATCGTACTGGACAGGATAAAAATATCCAAATAAATAAATAAACAAAGGACTAAGCCCTGTGACAGGTGTATTAGATGGACTTCAGTTAAGGACTGAAAATGTGGAAAATGCACTTGCTCGTGCTGGGCCAGCCACATGTATGCATTCACTTTGCCCCTCTTAGCTTATTACATCCAGAAGGGAGGGGCCACAAGAGGTTATAAATTCCTCTTTTGGAGGAGGCAACACTGGCCTCTTTCAAAAAGGTAGAATCAGACCACTCTTGAGGAAGCATAAGTTGTACCCAGAAGGAAAAAAGCAACTATACACTGGTCAAAAATACTGTTTTCCTGGACAGAATATTCAAACAAGTGGTTACTAATCAGTTCCAGGCTCTTTTCATTGACACAGATTTTCAAGATCTATTTCAAACCAGTTTCAGGCCTTGACTTGGAATGGAAACTGCCTGAGTTAACCTGTGGGATGACTTGTACTGTGGAGAAGGAGAGAGTATGGGGTAGTGCAAACCTGTTGGTCTTTCTGGACTTCTCAGCAGCTTTCAATACATAGTATTTGCGTACTTTGGCTATATTGGGCCACAGGACCATTACTCTAATCATTCCACTCCTATTTTGATGGCACCAGAATGTGGTGCTGATAGATTACTGTTCTGCTACACAGCAGTTGTGATATGGGTCCCTTGCAACCCTACTTTATATCCTCAGTGCTTTTTAACATCTACATTAAACAACTGGGAAAAGTTATGCAACTATTTGGGCAAAGATATCACCAATATTATCATCTCTCCCTTTCACTGAATGCAGGTGAGACAGTGGGTGTTTTGAAACAGAACCTGGCCAGGGTAATGAGAAACTGCAACAGGACCAATAACAGATTCAATCTAATCTAGTGGGAGGTATTTCTGTGCATGCACTTCATCTGTCCGGTTCTGCTCAGTTTATAGTTTGGATGTGTGCTTAAATCCATCATTATCACTAGGCACTCAGATGGCCAAAATGGTACCATGCAATCCCTTTTTAACAGCTTAGCCTTACCCTACCTAACAGAAATAGCTTTGTAACAGTTATTCACATTCTGGTACCACCATATGGATTACTGAAATGTGTTACCTGTGGGATTGCCTTTGAAAACAGACCAGAAACTTCAGCAAGTTAGAGACGGGACAGCTAGATTGCTCACAGGAACCAGCAAACATAATCATATTATGCTTGAACTTCGTCTTTTCACTGTCTGTCAGTCCATTTCAGGCTGCCAGTACAGGACCCAATTCAAAGTGCCTTTAAAACCCTACAGAATTTGGGGCCAGATTATTTGAATGTTTCCTTCCATATTTACTTACCCAGACATTAAAGTCATCATCTGAGGCAATCCTGCATGTGCTTCTATCAAATGAGGTAAGGCAAGCGGCTACAAGAGAGAGGGCCTTTTGAGAAGTAACACTCCATCTGTGGAAAGCTTCCCCAGAAAGGCTTTTCTGGAATCTAGGCTATAATCTTTTCAGCATCAGGTAAAGGCCATTTTATTCTCTCCAGCATTTTAAGAGCTATTATTAGCAATATTAGATCCTTGTACTTTTAGTACTATAGGTTTTACCTATGTTTTATTATGTGGTATTTTTGTTTATTGTTGCATTTTGTGTTTTCTAGGGACATCACCCAGAGAATACGGGTTACTGGGCATTCAACAGTATAATTGTTTAGTTAAACTGCTGACAGCCCTTCATCCGGGTGCAAGGTAAAATATAAGGTATTGGCTTTAGCTTCTCCTGGTTACCATTTTACTTACTATTCAACTATTCCTAAATCAAAGCTGAGATTATAGCAGTGGCTAGCAATGACGAACAATCCTAATATGCCTTTGGAGAATGTACAGCACTTCTGCAACTGAGCTGACTCCAGAATGTCTTTCAGGCCCAATTCAAGGTACTGGTTTTAATCAACCAGACCCTAAAACTAACTGAGCCCCTCATACCCCAAAGACCATCTTCCCTCTGTTGCATTATCCTCAGACAACCCAACACCACCTCCTTTGTTCCATTTAGATGGCAATCAGAGATATAATTTTGGTGGCTGCTCAATGAAGCAAGTTTTCCAAATATATTTTTCACAGCTCAACTCCATTTATCTTCCGGAAATGCTGAAAACCCTCCTTATGTGCACTGGTCAGCATGCTAATATTTCAAACATTTGAGACTTTAGAGTAATTTCATCTAAAAGCAAATGGAGGATAAACAGTGCCACCAAAAATAAAATAGCTGTTTCTACATAAATTGCAGGCTCACCAAGTACACAGACGTTTGTAAAAGGATCAAAACAAAACAAAACGATGGTCAGTGCACACTGAATGCCAATACAGTAATCCCCCAAAATTTGTGGAGGTTACGTTCCTAAAGCACCCGCGAATTGTGAAAAACCACAAATTTGGTGCTGGCGATGGGCACTGGCCGCCAAGGCAGTGTGGGTGGGCCAGGGGGCAGGCACATGTGGCAAGGCAGGGGCAGAGGCGGGCACATGCAGAGATCGTTTTCTCCAAGCGAGTCCAAACTCAGAGGAAACAATCTCCTTGCGAGTAATCCACCGCATGGAGAGGTGCCAGATTACTCACAAGGAGATTGGCTCGGACTCGCTCAGAGAAAAATCCTGCAAAAGACTGAAGCCCTGAACACTGAACCACGACTTCACGGGGTTATACTGTATACAGACTTCTGTGGGGAAAGAGGAGAAACCATTGGTACCCGGTTACAACCAGAGTCATGGTTTTACCACTATTTTCTACAGAAATAACTAACTTCTGCCAGGGAAGTGGAGGGGAATTAGAGGCAAGATTTAAAAAGGAACCAGGGTTCTTATGGACTGTGCCGATTTAATTGAAGTCCCCTGTTCTTAGGCACAATCCCCCACTGCTGAAATGTATAGCACCTGTAGCAAAGCCCACTACCCTGACCTGCAGTTTGGCCCTAATTTTACTTAACCCTCCTTGGAGGGTTAAAAAGGTCCAACTTCATTTGAAAACAGTATGCAGAAACTTGACAGCGAAACACTGATTTTGCCGCCACCATCCATTTCAGTGGCACAGCAGCAGGACCACAGCACTTGTGACAGCTGAAAGTGACCCCTGAGCTCGCTAAAGTTTCCTATCCCAGCTTTAGAGAGAGTATACTAGAATGTGAGGATCTGTACATCACAAAGCTATCACACTCTCCTCCTTGCTCTATTATATGTCACTATTTAACAATCAACAGCTGTTCTTTCCTTCCTCCCACATGGAAAAACTCCACAATAGGCCTGAACTGAAGAACAAACAGTGAACAGAGTATTCCCATTTGGAACTAGGGCAACAATTTCTTGTGACTTTCCAATTGTATACTGAAATCTGATCTCATTATGTCTTATGCACTGGCTTTTGCCTTATTGATCATGTCATCTGATGAGGCACACTAAAAATCCAAAACAGCCTGCCATATCATTGCTCTCCAAAATGTGATAGAAAGGACAAAATCACTTCTTCTTTGTATTAAGAATGTATTTTTATCAATGAGAGAACATTTAAGAGATAGCTGTAAAATAGTATTAATACAAATAATGAAAGGTTCTCAGTAAAAGGAGTCCTAAATAAAAATTGCTCAGTAAAATGAATCCTAACTAGCAAATCTGAACATTTCAAATTTAAAAATGGTGAAAACTGTTTTATTTTTGCCCCATTCTGACCACAACCATTTTTTCATCCCAAGAAATACTGATACATTTCAGTTTCTCTTCCCAGCACTGTAAGAAATCCTAGTTATTTTGGAAGCATAAAGTTCTGAGGACTATTAATGAATGTAATACTCAGGTGCTGTATAATAAAAAATGACTGTACTTTTACCCCAAATAAATAATTCAACTCCATTAAAAGTAATGGTAAAGTTTGCCCACGACACTAAGTTCAGTCGTGTCCGACTCTAGGGGATAGTGCTCATCTCCGTTTCTTGGCTGAGGGAGCCAGTGTTTGCCCGCAGACAGTTTTTGTGGTCACGTTGCTGGCATGACTAAATGCCAAGGTGCACAGAACACTGTTGCCTTCCCACCAAAGTGGTACCTATTTATCTACTCACATTTGCATGCTTTCATACTAGGTTGGTAAGAAACCTATTAGTCCTACACTAAACATAGGATACGGAGAAAGTAAAGTAAAGGCGCTGCCTTTTCCTGTGTGCTTTTCCACCAGAAGTGATATAAAATAATCCAGGTTTTGGGCTGATGTAATTTTTTCCCCCATTCCAGTCTCACGTTAGGAGAACAAGAGGGTTTTGGCTCTTACACAGCACAGCCCTTTCGTATACCTTCCTTTCTGTCCTGTGCTCCAGAAAAGTACCAACTGCAGACCTTCCTACAGTTGCAAAAAGGACTGCAAAGTCAGTTCTCCTTCTCCAAGGCTGGACCCCAGCCCCCTGCTACTTTCTTTCTAGCCCTAGAATGAGAGCTCCTAAGATCCCAGGCCTCCTAGAATGACTTCTTGAAGACCAGAAGACTGCATCCTAAATTTCCCCAAGTACTATCTCAATTCATGCATAGTTTTCTTTGTGTCCCAGAACTGCTTTGACTTTGCTTAAGACAGACACAGTATTGCTATTTATGTACTAAGTGAAGTTTTATGCCATGAAATCTCCAAACTCCAAGATTGTATGTTTTGGTCCAGCACACTCATACAGAAAGTTTAGTTTGAAAGTTTACTTACTTATCAAGCCATGCATGCCATGGGAATAGCGTGAATTGTCTGGGATGGTAAAGCTTCCATCACAAATGGCAACCTGGCTCTCACCAAAAGGAAGTGTGAAGAAACAAAGCTTGTATAGCAAACAGCCAAGGGCCTATGAAATTAAGCATATTTTAGAGAGAAAGGTACCACCAACAAAACTGCATAAAAAGTATCTCACCATAGCAACTTAAACCTAAGACTACAGCATTTCAACAATATTTTCATCATCACAGAATTCAAATAAATTAGCAAAAGGTTACTAAATAAATATAAGTAATGGCACAACTATTAAAATGTTTTTGTTGTAGGGTTTTTTCCATGTTAATCTCGATAATTGAGTCATTTTATTTAGCACTTGCTGACAGCAATGACGAACTTCAACCTGTAACTTCAAGTAACCTGGTTTATACCATTTTATTGAGACAAATTGTCTCAAATCTGGTTGCACTGCTCACTCACTACAAAAACTCTCCTAATAAGCATTTTTTGCCATGTTTAAGCATAAGGAGCTCTACAGATGATATGCTTAACTTTTTGCATTACAAACATATGACAGAATTCCTAGGAGTGTTTTCATCTTAAGTAATCTACAGAAATATTGGATCACTTTCAATGAATTTAGTTACTGGAACAGAGAAGTGAAGTCAATTAGGAAGTATTATATTTTCTATTAAGTCAAATTATATATTTTACAATATGTTTGGTTGAATTCAAGATTCATATCTGCTAGACTTTAGAATTATAGTTATATTTCTGAGAAAACCCACTGAAATCAGTGTGACTTAAGTCTTGTTGATTACAATGCATTTACTCCTACGTATGATTAAGTCTGCACCCAACTTCATGACATCTGTCCAATGATCTTCTTTGGTAACTTCTTACTAACTATAGCAAAATTATCCAGTTTTCCTTACCCAGATATCTGCCTTGGTAGTAATTTGCTTTCCTCCATAAAGGTTTATCATTTCAGGGGCTCTGTACGATAATGTAGTATATCTAGGAGCAAATAATTGGAATATAAATACAAAAATGCATACTTTATTCCAAGTAGCAAGAATGGAACACTGGATCTTCATTGTGAAGGGTCTTTTCCCATTCAAAGCAAAGAAGGCATTGCAGAATGGATAATGTCTCTCCACCCAATCAATAGCAAAGTAAGGATTAAGTGACCGGACTTTGCCTAGACTTTTACTTCTGAGAGAAAGCAGAATGTCAATGCCCTCCCTTTGGGTAGTTAGAAATTGGAAAGCAAGCCACTCAGACTCTGTGCAGCTCACCTAGATCCAGATATAGTATTAGCCCCTGATACAGTAGGTGTCAAGACAAAGGGAGGAATCACTTGCCAAAAACTAGGAATCAGTGGACCATAATGAACTAGCAGCATGATCTACTCTACTATTCTAGGATTTCTTTCTGCCTTGACTTGCTGTAAAACCCTAACTAGTAAAGGAAACTGATGGTAAGACACAGAAGTGCCTTGGGAATGCTAGGGTATCCTCAGTGTCCTTGCTTGATGCTAGGAACCCTCCCAGATGCTAGGAACCCTGAAGTATCTAAGGAGCTTCATTTCAGATTTATTACATTTCTCTACCACCTAATAGCCAAAGCTCTCTCAGTAGTTTTAAGGGAGTTAAACCTTACATTTGGGATTGTGAGAGGAATTGAACAGATCCACTTCTAGAGATCCACAACCACAGTTTGCATTAAATACTACATTGAGCATTTCCTCATTGGTCAAAATCTACTTGTGTATTCCAAGTGCTTTGAATGCTACTAAAAGGGTTTTCTCTGCACACTGGAGAAACAGAGAAGCTGATGCTTCAAGGTGATGATTCCAAGCACGGGATTGGAACCTGGATCTTGGAAGTGGTTAACGCTTCTCTGAGGGAGGGTCGGGTGCCTGCTCCTTTAAAGGAGGCGGTAGTCCGACCGGTCCTGAAGAAGGCGTCACTGGATCCAGGGATGGCCGCTAACTATAGACCAGTGGCCAACATCCCGTTTCTGGGCAAGGTGTTAGAGCGAGTGGTGGCGGGACAACTCCAAGCACTCTTGGATGAAACTGATTATCTGGACCCATTTCAGTCCGGCTTCAGACCCGGGTACGGTACTGAATCTGCCTTGGTCGCCCTGTACGATGACCTGTGCAGGGAGAAGGACAGGGGGAGTGCGTCCCTGTTGGTTCTCCTGGACCTCTCAGCGGCTTTCGATACCATCGACCATGGTATCCTTCTGGATAGGCTGGCGGGATTGGGGGTCGGAGGCACCGCTTTGCGGTGGTTCCGCTCCTATCTCAACGACCGATTCCAGAAGGTGGTGTTGGGGGACTATGGCTCTGCGCCATGGCAGCTTTGCCATGGGGTACCGCAGGGTTCCATTTTGTCCCCTTTACTGTTCAATATCTACATGAAACCGCTGGGAGAGGTCATCAGGAGGTGTGGGCTGCGGACCCATCAGTATGCTGATGATACCCAGCTCTACCTCTCGTTTTCCACCAATCCAGGTGAGGCAGTGGCGGTACTGAACCGGTGCCTGGCCGAGGTAATGGGCTGGATGAGGGCCAATAAACTGAAGCTCAATCCAGACAAGACGGAGGTCCTGTTGGTTGGCGGTTCGGGCTTCAGAGAAGGTGACCTGAACCTTGTCCTGAATGGGGTTGCACTCCCTCCTAGGGACAAGGTCCGCAGCTTGGGAGTGCTCCTCGACCCGGAGCTTTCACTTGAAGCTCAGGTGACAACAGCGGCGAGGAGCGCTTTCCTCCAGCTTCGGCTGATTCATCAGCTGCGCCCCTACCTGGAGTACGACTGCCTTGCAACAGTGACTCATGCGCTGGTGACTTCCCGTCTTGACTCCTGTAACGCGCTCTACGTGGGGCTACCCTTGAAGACGGTCCGGATACTTCAATTGGTTCAGAATAGAGCTGCCAGGCTGCTGACGGGGACTGGACGTTATGTTCACATGACACCAGTTCTCCGTCAGCTTCACTGGCTCCCCATTGAAGTCCGGGCCCAATTCAAGGTGTTGGTAATGACCTATAAAGCCCTAAACGGCTTGGGTCCTGGTTACCTGAAGGAGCGCTTACATCCATATTTGCCCAGTCGCCCCCTGAGATCGGCGGGAGAGGCCCTTCTCCGGGAGCCCTCCGTGAGAGAAATTAGGAGGGTGGCTACTCGGAGAAGGGCTTTCTCAGCGGTGGCGCCTAAGTTATGGAATGCGCTCCCCAGAGAGGTCCGCCTGGCGCCGTCGTTATTTGTTTTTCGGCGCCAGGCTAAGACCTTTTTATTTAAGCAACATTTTAAATGCTAAATACAATTGAATTTTATCTGGCCAGGGCGGCTTATTTTATAATGTGAGTTTTAATTAAGATTATTTTATATGGATTTTAACTTGTTTTATCTATGTTGTAAGCCGCCCCGAGGCTTCGGCGAATGGGGCGGCATAAAAATGTTTTAATAAATAAATAAATAAAATGTGAGCGAGCCCAGGTTCCTCTTCATCTAATCAAATAGGCTTTCATCATGATAGTATCTATCCTCTCAAGAATATATCATGTTCTGCGACATCTAGTGATTCACAGCAAGGGGGATCCATCTTACTTGGAATCAGTTTATACTTTGTACTCTTTCTAGTGGCAACCAGGATGCCTGAGCTATTTCTGATTGGCAATGAACACTCACAGTGCCACAGACCGGCATTTTTGATGAAAGAAGTAATGTATGGAGAAACTGGAGCGGTGTGTGTCCCTGCAGGTGAAACCTGGAGATCCCCCACTGCAGGGATTTATTAAACAGACAGAAAAATCATATTGTGACATTTCTGACTTGTCTTTATATGGTAACAGAAGCCATTTTAAGTGCTTGGCATGTAGCAGATCCCAGAGGAAATGTCTCGATTGGAGGGCATGAGCAACTGTGTCAGTGTCATGATGTTTTTTATTATATGCTTTAGCTTGTACAGTATGAAACTAAGCAGTTAGAAGACCCTTTTTAAAAACTGCAATTGTATTTTTAGCTACCCACTAGCTTCCAATAAAAATCTAATCTAAAGATGAGAGAAAAGGTACTTTATTGGTAACAGGCTGTAGGAAAACTGCAATCCTCTGAAATTTGGCTTATTGGAACCCTGTGCAAAAGCCCACACATCTAAGGTAAACATAGCTTTCAAGAACACAGGAAATTATCAGAATGCAACTCCGCTTCTCTCTTCCTCCAGTCCTATGTCCAACCAGTCACCATCTTTTGTTTGACCAAGCATTGACTTTAGAGAGAAATACGGAGGAATCAAAGGCAGGTATCTTGGCACTTTTAGATGATTCTGTTTTTTTGCTTTCCCTTTAGAAGTGCCCTTGGGATCTGGTAAACCCTCATTAGAATCCTGCAAAGATACAACCATAGCATCATCCAAACAGCCCCTCTAGTAACTGAACATATACAAATCAATGACAAATAATAAAGAATGAGTGCCGAACTTCAGGTCCATGGACCAAATTAATCCCCCCAGAGGTTCCAGATCATCATGTGTCCTTCCCATGGCCCAAACCACTGATCTTTTGTGAAGTTTCTCCCATTCTAAAAGGCTGAAATACCTCTTCCAAGACTGAGCTCCTGACAGAGATTTAAATTAAAATATGTTTGTATTTTTTATATCTGAAGTATCTCTCACTTTGCCTTTGGCTCCACCCAAAACTAAAATTTGGCTCCTGAAAACTTATCTACTTGGAAGAAGTGGTTTCAATTAATAATGTTTAGTGAGTTTCAATGCCTTACAGTAAAAGATCAAACTAATCTTCCTGCCTAGACTGGGCCCATGTAAAGAGAGACTGCAAAAACAAATACCAGGATGATACATATATGAAAGAAAAGAAGCTTCCAAACTCATGGAAATACATATTTATCCTGCTTGAACTGAACTTGAACTGAAATCAGGACACCGACTCATCCAGATGAAGAAATCTCTCCATGTGAAAAATGGAACATTTCTCCATATCATAAATTTCAGTAAAATCAGCTGTAAAATCAGTTTTTGAAATTGCTAAGCTTTTAAAACATATATTCTTATTAGTTTAGAAAGAATTCTAGGATTGTCAGAAAATTAGTGTTAAATAATTGCCTCACGAAATGCAACTTACTTTTTAATTTCCTCTTCAACCACATTAACTCCATCTTTCTGAGGATTAAGGAACTTATTAGTGGCACTGCCAAAGTCACACAGGACATAGTTCCCACTGTCATTCAATAAGATGTTCTCAACCTAAGAAAGAAAGAGAGAAAGGAGGGAGGGAGGGAGAAAAAGACAGACAGACCATTTAAAACATATACAAAAATCAAACACTCCCAATTTTCCAGGAAGTCAGTGTTCACTTATGTAATTCTCTAGTTGACAGATTAATGATACTGTAAGAATTCACTGTTCAGCAACAATGCGGAAGATCAAACTTAATTACATTCTCCAAAGATTTATATATTTATGATAATGCTTATACATATAGATTTTATACAATATGATTAAAGGCTCTAAATCAAGTGGCCTACCAAAATATTTGCATTAATCTGTATGTTTTGCACACAGAGTGCCACCATTCCACACAGGCAAATCTCCAAAACTTTACTTGGTGCCTCAAGCAGAGTTTGAGCTCTTTTAAGCCAGGGGTGGAAACCCAAGGCCCTTGGCCTAATTTCAAAAGCCCTTTGTAAATTATCAGCTCAAAACACTGACATGAGTAATATGCTCCTCTTGCTGCATCATGCAGTGTGGAAAGGAGGAAAGAAAAACAGGAAGACGGAGCAAAAGAAAAGAGATGCTCCCTACCCCATTTTGGCTCTGGCATTGTTCACTACTGCCTTCATCCCTATCCAACTCCAGCATACAGATCCTAACAGATTTTCCTAAAATAATGCAGCCCTTGACAAAAAAAAAGGGACCCCACCACTGCTAAGTTATTATGGAAATTCATTCACTTATCCTCCCACAACCTGCCCATGCCCATATACCATTCAGAAAAATAGTTATTTGAGCTCTCTATACTTGGCTCTTTCAAACTGCACTCCTTAGCCTTAAAGGTCAGCACCTTTTAAAGCCTAAAAGGAAGCTCTATGCATACAGCTGCTACAACACTTCTGTTTCCTGGGCAGAGTAGCACCAACAAGGCTATCTGAACTTCCTCTTCCAAATTTACAGGAAAATACAGCTGGCAATGGTAGAAGTGGCAATAGCAAACTGGATAAAAACAAACCTTTTTGCCCCTCAAATATGGAGCCTCAAATACTTTCCTGCCCACAGAAGTCAGGGTGACAATATTTTGACCCTTGCCTCTACTCCTATGCAAAGATAAAACCCAGCAAAATACCCTACCATTCCCATAAGTACTGCATATCTGTTATTGAGAAATACCAAATTACTTCCTTTTTTAAAGCAAAAGTAAATCATTATCGTATGACCAACCTATCTCCACCCTTTGCAGACAGTGCATATTGTATGCTGCATATTACTCCATCACCAGGGCAATCCCAGGACAGTGTGCATCTCATAAAATATTATCTATAAAAATTACACAGTATTAACAGCTGTAAAATGGCAAATAAAATCAACTTAAAAATTTCAGGATGGCTGGACAAACTGGAGCATTTAAAGATTTAGTGCCAATCAGAATACAGAGTCAGTGCCAAATGTCAATCTTCTTTTCCTCAGGAGGGCATTCCAAAGCTGGTACACCACCACAGAGAAGGTCCTCTCTTTTATAGCTGCATAGTGCATTTTTTCCAATGGTTGTATACAGAGAAAGGTGTATACAGGCTACATTTTGGTTTAAAATCTGGCCTTCTTTAGGCATTGGGCACTCTAATGCGGCCCCAGTGTGCACATGGGACACCTAACATGGCACTTCTACAGCTTTACCTGATTCCAGTTACATCAAGAAATAGAGCTGGGCATTATCAGCATGCTGATAACCCTTCAGTTCATACCCCTAGATCAGGGGTTGGCAACCTTTAACACTCAAAGAGCCATTTGGACCCGTATCCCACACAAAAGAAAATACAGGGAGCCGCAAAACCCTTTTGACATCTAAAACGAAGATAACACTGCATATATCTTTTTTTTACCTTAATGCTATGTATATCTTCATTATGATTTAGCTGCAGCTCTTGCTCAGTCACTAAAAACTGTTATTTTTAATCTTACATTATAAACTAGTAGGACTCCTTTCATATATTTTGAATAGGAGAACTGCTTCCTGAAGAATCAAAGCCAGAGCTAAAGGGCTGCATGCATTAAACAGCAAACCCCATAAGTTCATCAGCAGTAAAAGCAAATGAATCTACCCACATACCATTAAACGTTTGGTTTTCTTCAGAAACTTTTCTTCGATTTATCCATGGTTGGCCTACCGGGGGGGGGGGGGGGGGCTCAGTATATCAGTGCAGGTCCACACAGATCAGCAGATCTGCGGCTGTGCCAGAGATGTAGGTGTGTTTAGTGACTGATTAGCAGATAAACAGTCAAGTGCTGTGAACTGTGACAGGTCCCAAGCACAGCTTTTAACATTCAGATGAAGGAGAATACACTGGGACAAACAGAATCCTTTCAGCAGCGTTTTGCGTAACATGAGAGCCTGCAGGAAGCTGGTTCAGCAGAGGAATGTAACGATTAACTTAACTAGCTAGCACTGTGTTCCTGAGTGGAGCCTCGAGTAGATCACGGAGCCACAGCAGAGGGGTTCAAGAGCCACGTGCGGCTCCGGAGCCACAGGCTGCCGACCTCTGCCCCAGATGAACTCACCGAGCAGCTTCATATAGATATTAAAAAAGCATGGGAGACAAGACAGAAATCCCACAACTCAATTACCAGTGCGACTGAAAAGAAAACCTCAATACTACGTACCTCTGAAATCAGCCCTGCAAGTAAGGTTGGCGTCCACTATTATTACCATGGGCCCCAACCCCAATCTACAGAACTAGTGCTACAAATCTCCATGTTTGATCATATCTAAAGTTGCTAAGTGATAAAGAATCTGCAGGGTCAAACTCCCTGACTCTGCCACAGAAGGGTGAACAAAGCTGTTCCAGTGCCACACTGTCACCTAAACTCAGATTGAAAAGGCTTTAGACAGTCAGTTTCCTCCAACAGCACTCAAAATTGGACTCCCGCCACCATCTCAACCAACTTACCCAACAAAGGGATATTTGCATCCAGGAAATAGTTGTCACAATCTTCCAGATTCAGCTATTCTCTGTCTCTTCAAAGTGGCTATTACCAATCCCTCCCTTTAAAAGGCATAAAACAGCATCTTGAAACTACTAGCCAGTCTCTTTCAACTTTATGTAAGGAACCATGATGGGCAATATTTGAAGCACTTGGTCAGATCTCACCAAGTATCTAGCAACCACATCCTCAAGACAGCAGTAAGTGAAACTGATTCCATGAAACCAAACCCAATAGTGATACAATTCCAAAGACCATATGTCCAGAACAACAGTGACTCTATCCTCAAAGTGCCAAGCAAACTAGTCACAGTAAGCCCTTCTGGGTTCCAGTATACTTTTCTCAAGGTCCAGGAATAGCTGCACATTCACCACTCAAGTTCTGCTAGATAGCTAGCTGAGAATGCAATCAAGGCAAAAAAAATGTGCTACCTGTTTCCTTTCCCTGCACATCTCACAAATTCTGATAAACAAGGGGAACCAGCTGGTCTTTTCAGAACAGAAGAGAATGCTGGGATCCATCATGTCAACAAGCGATCCCTAGCCCTTTACCACAAACATGTTTGCTTTAAAAGTGTTCAAATGTGTTAAGCGGTTTTGAAAAGAAGGGTAGTTGTATATAAAGCTGATTCAAACTTAGCATTGTCATGGTTAGGAAGAAAAGCACCAAATAAGGGAATGCCCATTCATAGCCAACAGCAGCAAGAATTCTACTCAATAGCTCCTCTCACCTTCAAATCTCTATGAACAATGGGAGTTTTGCATTGATGTAGCCTAGCAACGGCTTCACAGGCATCACAAAATATCCTCAGCACTTCGGGCTCAGTAAAGCCTGTCTGCAGTCTCTGGTTCATTTGATTCACTACCTGTCCAGCTACGAAAGAGAAACATAAAAATAATGCAAATGAACAGTAAATATAAGTTACAATGTTTAAACAGAAATATAACAATATTTTTAAAATAAAAAGGAACAACTATAAGTAATCTTGGCAAATATAAGAAATATTGTACAACAGAAATGTCAATACACACAATTAAACTAAACTAATCCAGCACCAAGAATCATATAGCAGCAAGAACAGAACACAATACAGAATCATAAATAAATCACAATTCAACAGGAGGGTTCTCCACTATTAGCCTACAAGAACAGGCTGGCAACCACATCCTTCACTTGTGGTAGCCTTCCTCTATTCTCATAGTTCCTCCTTATTTCTCAATTGGGAAGGCAAAGAATACCAATCTTTCTGCAAGCTCCTTATAAAGTTTTGATGCTACGCAATCTCTCTTCAAGCACTTATCTTCATGCAGCAGACTTTACTGGACTCTAAGGTGGTGGGTGGAATGAGGCAGGTGAAAATGCCAAGCCCACTGATGTAATGGCAATTCACTTTTTTAACCATTCATTATGGCAGCTGCATGAAACTACAGTACATTGCCTCCTACCTTCCATTTTGCATCCAGTTACTCAAACAGTCCAGGAAATCTGCATTCCTGAAATGTTTGGTGCAATAACCAAACCTGGAACAATCCAGATTGTTGCAAGACAAACAATCCAGATTTTCAGCCTATCGACACAACAGGAATTTAAACTCTGGGTTGTCAATCAACAACCCAGAGTTCTAGGTTCCAACATGGGGCTTCCTGGGTTATTTAAAAAACCAAATGTAAACCAGAAGCAGCAAGCAGGTGAGAAGCTGCATTGCACAGACATTCTTGCAGAGCTCTGAAAACCCATGACTTAAACAGCTCATGGGGTGTCAATTATATGTGAACTGGAACTATTATCACACTAATTTCAAAGAAGAAATTTAATCTTCTTAACACTCCAATTCAAACTAAGAATCAAACTATTAATATTTGATTGGCTTATTCTGTGCACAATGACCTGGTTCACACACATTTTGTAGGATTATTTGTTCAACTCTCAAATAACCCATGAGGCCCAGTTCTCAATGGCATGGGAACCTTTGCACTGAGGCTGTATATTCAAAACGGCATCAGGCACACACCATAACTCATCAGGAGTTAACAAGCCATAGTGAAAATAGTGTGTCGTGACTGTTTTTCAAATTCCGAATAAAGGTCTTTCTGCTTTTTGCAAAGCGGTTTTGATTAGCAAGGTTTAGCCTGGCAGCACAGAAACCTCTGCAAGCTCCTACCTGCACTGATGATAGTCATTTCTTTTACAGAGCATGACAGAAGCCATATGCCAATTAAGGGAGACAATAAAATATTATAATTATTTTGGGCTATCATTATGTGTGGAAATTTACAAAGTACAAGAAATCAAGTACCAGCCACAAGGAGCTTAAATCTAAAAATTTTAGGAACAGGAGAAAGGATGGTTTACACTGGGTAATAGGTTTTTTTACTTTTTAACTGTATTTATTCACAGGACATTAGAAACAATTAAAAAACTATTGGAATTTAAAGTTGTAATAAATGTCCTTCATGTTTGAACGGCTGAACAGAACTGTGCACTCTCTGAACTCTTTCTTCAATGAAAACTAATGGAAAACATTGTCCATTTTAAGTTAGGTAGAATACCAAAATTACTAAAGCAAGGTATAGTCCAGATTCCTTTAGAGAGGCCTCATTCCATCCTGTAGTATTACAGAACTACCAGCTCATTCACATTGGGAAAACATGTCCCAGGGAATGGTCCAAAAGCATCTGAAGCTACAATAGTAATAAAGTTAATCAGATATCAGCCTGATCAGGCTCTTGAATGGGAATTCCCTGAAAAAACAGGACATAACAATTTATGACAACACATTAGAAGGTAACACTTCCTGCAGCCTCCATATCACAGCTCCAGGTCCACTATTTGACAGCTGTGTGAAAAGTAAGAAATAATCACCATTAAGACAGCACTATGGGAAACACAGGAGAGTATGAATGGGGGGAGGGGAAATGTTATACATAAATAAGTTGCTGTTACACCTCCTTTCTCCTCTCTTCCGGAAGCAACGAAGTACAGGAGCTTTGACAAGTAAAAAAGGAAGTGAGTAGCCCTGTCACCCCTGGAACTTTATTTGCAGGACTGTTAGTCTTGCCTGAGACACTGCATGTTCAACAACTATTTATATTTTTAAAGACAATAGTTTACTTACCACGACAATATTCCATTAAGATCAGCACCTCCCATACATTATCACTAACAGAATTGACAGCACAATCCAGATAACCTACAATGTTCTTGTGTCCAGACAGCTCTTTCTGAAAAATAAAACACATTCAAGTGTAAAGAAAAGCTTTACAACTTTAGAAAAAAAGTAGTAGAGAAAATCACGAAAGAACAATGAGAACCACCAATGGAATGAATTACTTAGATAAGCATGCCACATCCAAAGAACATTTGCTGCTTGTGATCATCTTGACTTTCTTCTTTGAAAATTCACAGAGTAAGTTAACTCTCTTCAGTTTGTCAAACCCTGAGATAACTGGTTCTCAAAAAGCAGATAAAGAGCCTCAAGTGGGTAAATGCTTGACCTAAGATGGTCCAGTACTACATTTGTGTTTAGCGTTTTCTGAATAGAAAGATGGACTGGGGAAGGAGACGCTGCAAAACAGTGAGAATTTTTACAATAAGAACTTTTATCAGTTCTATGTTAGTTCAACAGTTATGACTTTTCTCTTCCAAACAAAATCCTGTGGATTACATTTTGAGGCCAGTAGTAAATTTGTAAGAGATTTCTTCCTCACACTCAGAACCACAATTCCCTGAGGAGAAGGAATAACTGTTAAATACAATGGAACGTGCGTGCACTGAGACAGACAGAGGAAGAAAAAATAGAGAAATAATTGAACAAGGGATTAAAAAATTAAGCTGAGCCTCACATTACAGGATGGAATTGAAGGTAAGTCCAAAATCTGAAAAAAACTGACAAATTGTTTCTACAGTAACACACTAAAATGAAAAACAAGAGTAATCTGTGTGCTGCGTATGACTATTTTGATGCACCAAGAACTCTTTTTTTATTACAATAACACAGCTTGAAGAATTGACACATACTCTTAGAAAGCTCTCTCAGCACCCACATCAAAAAACATGTTTGAATCTCTTTTTAGACAAAAATAATACATTGAAGAACTGCTCTAGTATTGGGAATTATGTGTTCCATTCACCAGTAAAAACACTATTTCAAAGTGTATTTTTCCCACATGCTAACATACTGCCCTATCACATGTGTCTTTCAAAGTAACCCAAATGATGTTAACTCACTGAGATTTTACACTAAATCACTAGCTCATGCATGCTTTATTGACAAGAGCTGAGAAGGGATGGCATGAATAGGACATCTGGGAGGCATTCATACACAGGGTCACCATAAGTCAGAGATGGTTTGATGCATGCTTTCAATAAAAATATATTAACAGTGTAACAATTTAACTTACCATTATTGTTATTTCTCTTTTGCAAATATTGAGGTCAGGCACATTGTTCACATACATTCGTTTCAATGCACACCGGACACCACCATGTGTGCGCACAAGGAGTACTGTGGAAAAGCCACCTGAAAGAACAGAGACTGCACTATAAACAAGTTCATCTGTTTATAATTTAAGCAATGCAACTTTCACTATTTAAAAATAGTAAATTCACTGTGTTCTAATTATCTTTAATTGCCCTATTAATAAAATATGTTTTATTTACAACAAAATCTTGTAAATAGTATTTTATTTTACAACGTAATAATTCAAAGTAGTATCCAAGTATCTTTCTGTTAGTGGAAATGACATTGTACTAACAGAAACTAGGTTCTGAACTATGTGCAAGAGGAGATTCCACCTAGTTATGCTTGCACAACTCATTGTGCAACTGGTTGTACATAAATCCTGTGCAACAGAAAGATTTGGTAGAGTTCCACTATCTCCACTGGCATTTGTACAATGCAACTGTAGAATGATACTGTTGTCTTTTAGGGAAAGCTCTCTCAAGGTTGTATAAAAGATGTAAAGTCACAAAACATAACAGCAATAAAAACAATGACATTCAGGTAACAATATATATAATGGCACCCAATGTAGTCATTAGTCAGCTACAGGACAAGGTAAATAAATATGACTCTAGGGCAGTGATTGTGAACATTTTAGAGACCAAGTGACCAAACCGCAACCCACAACCCACTTATTTATCACAAAGCGCCAACACTGCAATAAAAACTGAATGTTGAGGTTTTAAGTTTAGAAAAAAAAACTCATACATTAACATTTTTTGTCTTAAAAGAAAAAAACAGCAACAGAGAGGAGCCATGTTCACATTCAGTGCCCCCAAGTCAGGGGGACGCTGGGCTTGCTTGCGCCCGGGTGTGCGCATTCCCTCCCTCCCTCCCTCCTCGCCCCCAAACCAGCCACCGGGAATGCCAGAAAAGCTTTGGCAGCGCTTGAAAGTTTACCGGAGGGGCAGAATGAGGAGGAGAGAAACCTAAACTAAAGGTGAGGAGAGGCTATCACTGATCCCTTCTGTGCTTCCATTGGGATCTTCCTCAAGGCACCCCCACAGCGCTGCCAAGCCTTGGCAAGTGGAGTCGGGTGGGGAGGAGGGTCCCCGCCACGCACCCATTCCTCTCACTTTGCAGCAGTACCAGCCTCCACCTTTCCTCATTTTGGCCTCCCTCCCCAGGAAGCACCATATCAATCCCAGGCGCCCTCTCTCTCCTCCTCCTCCTCGCTCCAGCTGCTGCTCTGCTGCCTCAACCCCGTCGCTCACTCCCTTCGCCCAGCTTCCCCACTCTCCCGCGGCCACCGGCACGGGAGCCTGGCGAGGGGGAAGGCGCGGGGGCAGGTGGGCACGCAGGTTCCTGGCTGCACCTGTAGCAACCGAATCAGTAGGGTCTTGCCACTGCACTAGGAGGGTGGCTTGGGCAGCCGCTCACATGCTGTGGGCCAGGAGGAGGAGGAGGAGGAAGCAGGAGGAGCACATCACCGCCAGCGCTCGGCACACCCACTCGCTGCTCGCCCACTCCCTTCCTGGCGCACCCGCCACAGCGGTTGCACCTGCCTCTGGCCACCTATTCAACACAAGAGGCTAATGAGTGACATTGTCACCTGGTGTGGTTACTCTTTCCGAATATGTGCATGGCTGCTGGGGTGATGCTGGGGCTACTTGGCTCGCGTGCCAACAGAGAGGGCTCTACGTGCCTGCTGTCGCACGCGTGCCACAGGTTCACCATCACTGCTCTAGGGCCTGTTTGAAGGCCAACAATGATGGGCCATGGCAAATAGCAGGCAGGGGCCTACTGAAAAGGTTATTCCTTGTGCCTGCCAGCCTAATTACTTTGGCAAGCAAACACCTAAGCAAGGCCACTAATAATGATCTTGGGAGTACAGGCGTATATTGGCGAAGCAGTCCTTCAAATAAACTGGCCCTCACTTAAGGTTTTAAAGGCTGATATCAGCCCTTTAAATTGGACCCAGAAACACACAGTAAGCACAAATGAAGTTAATATTCATGTTACACAAGCCTATCACCCTGTACCTACTTGACACATCTTTTATCAGTTTATCCTAGAAGTAGCTCACACAAATCATGCATCCTCTGGCTGCCCAGCTTTTTTATTCTGGGGGTAAAGGTGTACACAACCAGTGCTTTTAAAATTTATTTACTTTTCTAACTGCAGTTACACACTCACAATCAATTACAGTTGTGTAACTGTGGGTATCTGAAGCCTGGGTGGAGCAATACCTGACTTATGCCCTTTTGCTGCAAAAACCTTGATGTACACATTCTGCACTTTGCTCCAAATCTATAGGAGTTTGAAAAGTACAAATGTACAATCCTCCCTTATTTTAAAAGGAATAAGGGAGTTTGATATCTTTGACAGCTAGCTGTCAAAACTCTGGCTCTTTTTTTAAAAAAGGATTTTTATTTGAAACTGGCCAGAACCTGCAGTACCCCAGACCAGAACTTGCAGTACCCACTCAAAAAGCCCTTTTTAAAGGGACTGAATGATTTGACAGCTAGCTGTTAAAGACCCTAATCTCTTCCCAAAAAAAAGGAGCGGGGATTGTTTGCACTTTCCAGAGTCCATAGAAGCTCGGGACAAAATGCAAAATATACATCCCCATGGGCATTAAAGGCAGAAATTTTTAAAAGATCAAGATCTTGCTGACAAAGGGATGTAAATCTTTTTTTCTCATCTTTGGTTTCCTTTTGACATTCCTTTGCTTCCATGCTGTGAGTTGCCAAGAGGAACCAAAGAGGGGTTAGTGGATTTGGTAAAAAGGGAAAGCAATGAAAATACTGTATGGTGTATGGATGCAAGGCCTAATTGCTAAAATGAAACCACAGACAGTTTCATAGTATTTTTATTTGTGAATTAGCATGCCTTAAGATTGGATTTGTACCATTGTCTTAAAATTATTAAGTATCAATGGGAGCCTGACATAAATAAGGGTTAGTGTTAGGGTTAGGACTCTTCTCTTGATTTAAATTGCCTTGTTCAATCTACCCTGATAAAATTGAATTTCCACTTCCCAGCAGATATCTAGGAAAGCTGAACCTAGAAGTGCTTCAATTTCTCAAAAATATTTTGAAACACTGGTTACTGACAAAAGTTTAAACATCAAGTACACTTACTCAACTAGAACAACAGTTTGTACTCCTTTTCTTACGATATTGGATGATTTAACTGAATAACTAAGAACTATCTGGCTGTCTGGAATGAAACTGTCATGTAGACACACATTACTTACACGTAGATTAGATTACTGCAATGTACTCCATATGGAACTACCTTTCAAGAGTCTTCAGATGCTTCACAATTGGTCCAGAATCTGGACCAACTGAAGCCTGAATCTGCCCTAACCAACCTACCCATATCCTAAATCTGTCAGAGAGACCTTTCTTTGTATATCTCTGGTGGTGTGATGGGACATGAGAAAGGGCATTCTAAGCAGCTACACCCAGATTATGGAATATTTTGCCCCATGAGGCTCATTTGGCCCTTTCCCTTGCTGCTTTTGAGAGCTAATATTTACCTGTTCAGCAAGGTTTATTATTTGTTATTGATATTAAATTGCATTTATATCCCACTTTTTTTTCTTCTTGTGAGCAATCCCAAGAGGCTTGCTTAGGGCCATTTTATCCTTCCAACCACCACTCTAGAAGGCAGATTAGGCTGAGATTTAGTGACTTGCTGAAAGTTGCCCAGTGAGCTTCATGGTTAAGCAGGAACTAGAACCCAGCTCTCTTGTGTCCCCAGTTCAATAATTTAAGCACCACACCACACTGGTTCCTTTAGTTTTCTTGGGCAGATTAAGTTTATTTAGTGAACTCTATGTGAGGATCTTTATTTTTTGAGTCTGTTTTTATATTGTTTCATTAAGGTTTGTGATATTTTATTGTTATAAGCTCCTCTAAATAATATAAATGTTTTAGATGCAAGCACACTAGAATACATCCCGCACTTCAGTACATCAGTACATTACAAGGCTAGATCAGCAATGTTAAGCAAGGTTTTGCAGCAAAGTTTTCAACCATTTTCCATCTTCTCATATGGAGAAACAAATATGAAAACCACAAAAATAGTACTCTACATAATTACTGTTTTACCATTAGGTGGCAACATATCCCAACACAGACACCTTTAGAATCATCACAGTACCAGACAATAACCATATTTCAATGATCAGAAAAAATGTCAATGTATTGTCTCAACAAGAGAAAAAATTGTGCATCATGTTATTTAACTGCATTTGATAGAATCAGTTTTTTATAACTTTAATATCAAAGTTATATATTAAAACATTACTCTCTTCCATTGTACTTATGTTGTCAGATTACTAAATATTTAAAGTTACTGTGGGGACAAGCATTTAAGAGCATAAAGCAGGGGTAAACAACCATTTTGCCCCCAAGAAACACAACACTGAGTCACACACAGTTTCTCCTAGCTATCCTTATCTAGATTGTTTTCTGACTGCAATTAGCAGAGGAAAAACAACAATCTTAATTAGAACCCTGAAAGGCAGGAAAGTTCTGAACTCTTCCTAACCCCCAATGATCTTCACCATAATCACAGGGGGAAGCTTTAAACTTAACACTGATCCTACTCACGAGTGCTACTTCCCTATTCCTACTACCTTCACCAGTATCACTGAGTATGGGATAAGGTTACGGTCTCTACCCACACCACAGAAATCCTGATCAGGATTTATGCTTTCACACTAGCTGATCCCTGCCCCCTAATTTATGGTTAAGCAGATAAGACAGCGGAAAAGGTAGGTAAGGAACCCCAGGGGTTCAGCAGACCACACAACAGTAAAACCACAGAAAGCAGGTTGCCCACATGTGCCATGGAGGATCAACTTTGACAAAACAAAGAACTTTCTAAGAGAGAACCAAGAACATTTTAATTAACACCTGGACAAAATATTCATAGTTATACAAAATTCATGTACCAAACTTTTGTCTGCTTAAAAATATGTGCCCAAATACCACTGAAGAATGTTGTTTCCCACACTGTAAATTCCATTCACTGCACTGCATCCAATTACAATTTTTGACATCACA